CGGCAGGAGGGTTGGACTAGATGACCCACAGAGGTCCCTTCCAACCCCTACTATTCTGTGATTCTGTGATTCCTGCAGGTCCCTAGAGACTGAAGGCAGGGCTTGCTGCTGGCGGCAGGGTTGGTGTTGCTCCAGATAGGAAGGGATAGACCTCTGCTGCAGGCTCTGGGTGCTTTTTCTTGCTCAGACGCTGAAAGCCATTTGCCCTCAGCTCAGATACCGTGAGTTCATCAGTAGGTGAACCTTTCTAGAGACACTAGCGTGGGCTCTCCTCTTGGGAACGTTTTCCAGGGGGTATGAGAAGGGAAACAATGTACTGAATGATCTCCAAAAGTACCTTTGTCTTACACCATAGAGGTACCTGCTCTTCAAGGCTAGCTGACTCTGCCATGCAAGCTGTAGGAAAACGATGATAAGCTAAGTGGTCTCTCTCTTGTCCTCTAAACGCAGATCAGATAGATGAGAATCTGAAGTTGGCCCTGCAGAAAGATCTCAATGTCATGGCACCAGGTCTCACCGTCCAGGTAGGTTCATTCCCTAACAAAGGTGATTCTTTCTTCCACCTCTAATTTGCTCACCTTTCTCTAGATTGATGAGGTTTCTTGCTTCAGTTTCCCACACAATGTGAAATAGTTGAGCCTTGAGTTGAGGTTTGTCAGTTGAAGACTGTCCATATGACAGTGACCACTTCTAAATGCTAGTTTTATGTTGGGGGAAGACCTGCAGGATAGAGGAAAGGACTTTTTAGGTCACAGACCTGCAGGTACTGGATTTAATTTGCAAAGAGCAAGAAAATGTTTTTCTTTAAACTACCTTTGGCACCCCTGCAGAGCTGGATGCTCCAGTGTGCCAGCACAGTTCTTACAGGTAGTTGCAAAAGAATCTTTTCTGTGATTGTACCGGAGCTAGGGACAGCTGATATTAAGTGATTTTTCTGCTTACACTTAACGTTAGAAAATCGTGTTTAATCTTAGTTGGGCTATGGGACATACTGGCTTTTTTGGCATTGTTATAGTTTGGCTGTGGTCAGCAACAAAAGGGCTACACGGTCACTCTGCCACCCTTCTCCTCCCCCCTGTGGTGGGGAAGAGAATGGAAAGAATGGAAGGCAAAAACCGGTGGGTTGGGATAAGGGCAGTTGAACTGAATAGCAAACAAAGGGAACAGTAACATCAACAATACAGATAAGGAGAATACACAAAAGAAACAGCAGAATGCACGGAGCCACTCTCACTGCCTGCTGCTGACCGCACCCCCTGAGCCCGACTAACTTTCCACTGCCCGGCTCCTCCCCAGCCAGAACCCAGCATGACGGCACATGGTACCGAATACCCTGTTTGGTTTGGCCAGGTTGGGTCAGCCCGCCTGGCTGTGTCCCCTCCTGGCTTCTGGTGAAAATTAACCCTGTCCTGGCCAAACCCAGGACAGGCATGTTGAAGTTCAGGGCGACCAGCTGGGATAAATATACCTTAGTCTCACAAGGGCTAAGGTGGAAATCTCTGGAGATTTCCACTGGAGGGAAGAGTGAGACCAAATCTGTGTTTACGTTCTTGTTGCCACATTTAGCTAGACTGGATGGCTGTGTGTAGGGAGGGAAAGCCTCCTGTGGACAGCACGTGAAATGCTTTGATAAATACTTTGTGGCTCATTTGTTCATGGGCTTGCTCTGTTTTGATGAGAGTGGACCACAGACAGTGTCTTGTCACAAAGAAGTAGAGATGGCACTGCTCTTCCAAATAGCCAAGTTAACTTGCGGTGTACATGGCAGAGAGGTTTCCTGCAAAAGTTCATCATCCATCAAAATTGTCGTCATAATGTAAGGGCCCTTTTTGTTTTCAGGGTATGGAAGGGTGCAAGCAAAGCTCACAGCTCTTTGCTGGGAGATGTTAACTACAGAGCCAAGTCTGATCTTCAACGTAAAATACCCCATCTCAATTTGGCATGCCCAGTCTTCACTGTTGGTCGGAAGTTGAAGGATATCCTGCCTGCATCAGCCCAGACTGAGCTCACTGGGCCAGCAGTTTGAAGAGGTCCTGTAACTAGTGAGGAAAGTGGTTCATCTCTATAACTTAAGAGATAATGTGATCTTGCCCTCATGTTCCTATTGTTCCTTTTCAAAACAGCCTTGTTCCCAGTATAATTGTGCTTGAACATACAACTCAGCCATGTTGCTGTGTCTCCTGTCAAGAAACACACCGCTCCTTTGGTGAAGAGTTGAGCTGTCTTTAAACACTCCACATGCAGCTGTGTAACCCAGATTAACTTAACTGTCCCTGGAATTGAATTGTTTTGTGAGCTCTAAGGGAAATAATTATGTATTTGGACATAATGCTTTCCTCTTAAAGAGCATGTTTGCGTGCATGAGTAGTTCAGAGATCACTGACAATTCAGTCTTGAAAGAAGTGACACAGAAAAAAATGTTGTTGAAAAGATGCTGTCAGAGGGAATTAACAGCATTTATTTCTAGGTTTATTAAAAGTAGTGTATATGAAACCTTCACAAGTCCTCCGAGTTGCCTGATGCAAAACATTCTTTCCTAACTGGAGTGATGGCAACATCCTGAAGAGAAGTGGAGGCCAGTGGATTGTAAGAAGTGTCTAGGGACAGTGTCATAGGGGAGGCTTCTGCACTTTCCCTGTGAAGCAGCACACCCCAGGGCTTGTCTCAAAGGTCTGGACAGAAACACATGCATCCTGGGAAACAAACCTGAGAAACTGGAAATCCATGCGCATTTGTATTGCTGAGGTCTGTTGAGATAGCTCGCGTGAGTGCAGTGCTGCTGTGGGTGGATATGGGCTCTCTAGGGAGGATGGGCTGAGAAGGTGAGGCAGCAGGGTTGTGCTGTTTGCAAAGGACTAGCTCAGATCATGTGGAGCTTCGGTTTGAGATGGGTGATGAACAGCTGAGGTAAGAGCCAATATAGGTAAGAATCGGACCAACATGGAGGACCGCATGGTCCTTGTCTGCTGCAGACCACTGAGTTAATAAGATGAAGTAAGTAAAACTGCCTGTAGAAGACCAGAGGAACCCTCGTGATCACAGACCCTAGTACTCGTGGAGGTCTCTGACCACCTCGGTGTCTGCTGGAAGAGTAGTAGGCCTGAGTGCAAGCTATGCTGGATGTTTCTGAAGGGTGTTGAATACAGGTTTTGGCAGTGGTGAGCAAAGCTGGCTGGACGAGATTCTGTGCTGGACATTTTAGAAACGAGAAAGCACTGGTTGAGGTGAAGTCTGGTAGCAGTATGAGCAGTAACAGCTGTAAGGTGATGAGTTCAAGGTCTTCGGAGGAGCATTATGGGCCTGGGCTTAAGGAGAACAGAACTTGCTTTGTGCAAGATGTGCTCAACGGGGTCCTGTGGGAGCCTGCCATGGTCAGCAAAGGAGGCCAGGAGGCCCCATGTCATTGCCAAGGATATCCCGAAGTGTAGAAAGTCAAGCAAGTGAGACGGAAGGCCAGCATGGGTGACTAAGGAGCTCCTGACTGAGCTGAAAAGCATAAGGTAAACTCCCCAAAGGGTGGAGCAGGGATAGATGAACTAGGAGGAATAAAGCTGTTTGAACCAAGACCACAGGAACAGAGTTAGGAAAACCAAAGCTCAGCTAGACTTGAACTGAATGATGGCTGTGTAGGGCAGCACCAAGGACTTCTGAGGTGCATCTACAGCAAAAGGAAGGCCAAGGAAGCTGTGGAGCAGGGGACATAGTGACTAAGAATGTGGAAAAGGCTGAAGTACTCAACACCTTCTTTGACTTCTTTCTGGCAAGGTCTACCCTTGGGCATCCCCTTTCCTTACCCTAGCATCAGAGTCTGCAGAGGTGAAGCATTACCCACAGTAGAGGGCAACTGAGCAGATGGACACACACAAGTCTGTGGAACCAGGTGGAATGCATCCCAGGGTGCTGAATTGCTGGCCCGCAACACTGTGAAACCACTCTCTTATCTTTGAAAGATGGCAGTGGTGAAGGGAGGTCCCTAATGACTGGAAATGGACAAATGTCACACCCATATTTAAGGAGGAGGATCAACATGAGAGAAGTACCGTACTGTCAGCCGGTTCCCATTCTCTGCAGTGTTTACGTTGCAATCTCAGTGGCTTTCAAGTGCACTCTCCAGTTTGTTGGTACCCCTTATACTGGGTTCCCCACACTGGAATAAAAATTGGTTTCGACCTGCTGCTGAGCTTTTGCCAGTGTAGCTCAGGATGTGGCTGAACTTCATGGCTGTCATATAGTCAGATTGTCTTTTGATTCCTTCATGCTCTTTTTTGCAAAGCTGTTGCTCAGACTGTTAGTCTCGGCATCTTCCAATGCTTGAATGTTTGATTATTAGCAATATTGGCAGTGCACAGTAGTGTTTCCATCTAGCAGAGTTAAGTAGATTTCACCATTAAATAGATTGAGCCATTGGCTTGAAAAAGAAGCAGCTAGTGGAGATTTTCAAAGACCTAGTGGCTTTCCTGGTTATGGAAGAGTCTTTGCCCATGTTGGAAAAGCTGTGCTTCTGGAAATTGATATTTGTTTTGGTGCAGGGGGTATTATGGAGGTAGAAAGAATATTCTCCTGCATACCCTGCAGTGGCTGGTGAGGTGAGCTTTGTGCATGTGGTACCTTTCTAGGGATTTGGTAGGAGCTTAGAAAAATCCTTTCACTGAAGGATGTTCTGGTCTGATGTCCCATAAATCTGCTGCCTTTGCTTGTTCAGAGAAGCAGCAGGGTTGGGGTTTAGGCTACCTGATCTAGTGGAAGATGTCCCTGCCCATGGTGGGAGGGGGTTGGACTGGATGATCTTGGAAGGTCCCTTCAAACCCAAATCATTCTGTGATTCCTGACTGTCTTGCTTTGATGACAGGCTAGCTTCTTCTCCCCAGACAGGATATGTTTGCTAGGGCCAGGGTGCCTGTCCCATGGAAACGGTTCCCTTTTCTGCATATGAAGACTTGCCTGGATGTGTCCGTATCCCGTTCCCCTCTGTGGAAGCCCCTCGGTTCTTTGCAGACTTACTGACTCCAGAGGAAAGCAGCAGGTTCAACACTAGATCTGCAGTGGAGATGGTGCAGTAGGGTTGTGAAGCAATTGTACAGCTGTGGACTGTCATCTGCATCTCCTAAAGCTCAGTAATGAGCCACACAACATGCCAGCTGAGCAGCAGTAGCTCCTGGTCCTGCTTCTGGAGGTGTTTCCCTCATATTTCAGAGAGAGTCCTCCGCAGAGCAGCTTAACAGCTGTCTCTGGCATGTACCTGAGTTGTGGTGTCAGCATCACCATGCTCATCGCTATGGATGATCTACAGTTGCAAACAACAGCTGCCACCCGCATCCTGCTGCTCTCTCCTGTCTTCACCACTTTGTCTCTCGCTGTGTTGCCACTTCTGTAAGATTTTCTTCTGGCAAACCCATTCCTGAGCTTGTAGCCCTGCCTCTGTTGCAAGTCTCACTCCTGCAATTTAATTTCATTGGGTTTGTGAGCCCCTTTCTTGAGCAGTACTTTGGGAAGTGTTGTCTGGTGATATCTGAAGAGTCTTTGGGTGGAGAACTAAGCTGCTTCTAACAAGGTGGACCTCTCTAGCAGTTTATTCCACAGGCCTTATCTGATCATTCAGGTGCCATGAAAGGTGCAAAAACAGGAAATATAAATGTAAGGCACCTCTGCGAGAGTGGCTGTGCTCAGCTTTTGTACAAGAGGACTGGGAACCATTATGTGTGATCTTGGATCAATGTGGAGATGTCCAGAGCACTACAGCTGTCTTTTTGCAAAGACATTTCTTAGTTATGCAGCTTGCATCAAAATGTTTAATTTAAAATGCACTCACTTTTTTTTCCATAGGCTGTGCGTGTTACAAAACCCAAAATCCCAGAAGCCATCCGAAGAAATTTTGAGCTAATGTGAGTAGCTGTACATAAAATTGTATTAATTGGTTTTGAGGATGCAGCATAGGCATGATGCTATTAGAAAGCTCTTACCTGGTGCTCAGAAGGGGAGAGGTGGGCTCTAGTTAGTGTGTGCTTGGCTAGGTGCACTTGTGCATTCTGTTTCTTCATTTCCATAGCTCTTTCACCTTGAAGCCTTTCAGCCCTTCACCAAGATGGTTGTTAGCGTGTACATAGTCTGTATCAAGGCTGTTTCTACTCTGTTATGTAGAGGAGACACTGATATGCTGTAGAGAACCTGCAGAGGACTCGTAAACTGAATTCAGGGCTCAGGGATCTTGATGTCTCACCTATAAGCTCCTCTCCAGCAGACTTGCAGAACTGCAGGCAGATTTTAGCCTGATACGTACCCATGGAGATCTCATGTCCAAGCCCTATTCCAAAGCAGGGCCAGTGCTGCAGCTGCAGCAGGTCTGGGCGAGTTGAGGCATCCCTGGGGATGGGGATCCCCCACCCTTCGGGGCCCTATCCCAGGGATGCCCTGCTCACTGTTTCCTTGGGGGCAGCCAGGATTTCTTGTCAGCTTGTGCCAGTGCCTCTGGGGCTCTCATTGTGCCCCTCCGAGCAGAGCGTGACCCCAGCGTCTCTGGGACCGCTTTGGGCAGGGGGAGATGCTGTTGGATCCAGCTGAGCAAGCTCAGCTTGCCCAGCCTCTCATCGTATCCCCTGGCCTCCACCCCACATCTGCAGTAGCCCTACACTGGATTCCCTCCTTGTCCTGAGGGCCTCAAGCTGTATGCAGCATCCAGATGTGGCCTCACCAGTGCCAAAGAGAGAGGAGGAATAATCCCTTCCTTTGACCTGCTGGCTGTGCATGTGCTCATACAGCTGAAGACAGAGCTAGTCCTCAGGGCTGTGAGGACTGGTCGGTTTCTTGTCCCCCTGCTCTCTCATGCCCTAATTTATATATATATATATATATGTATATATATAATGCCTATCACCATATTGGTATTTCCCTGTGATACTGCTTCTCACCCTGCAGGGAGGCTGAGAAGACCAAGCTGCTGATCGCAGCCCAGAAGCAGAAGGTAGTAGAGAAGGAGGCAGAGACAGACCGGAAGAAAGCACTCATTGGTATGTCACCATTTGGGAGTACTAGCGGAGAGTGGCCAAACAGAATTTCCATTCCTACATCCCCCAGTAAGCCAGGGTAGGACATAGCCTTGCACTGCTGACAGCTCCCTGAAGGAGGCATGGCCAGGCTGCACCAGCAGTTATTCAGAAAATATGAGTGTTTCTGCTGCTGTATCTATGTCCAGCCACCCTCCCCAGAGCAGCAGAGCAGCAAACACCTCTGTCCTACAGCAAGGCTCCTACTACAGCAGGCCAAGAGGTAACAGCTCTGCCAGAAAAACTGCTTGAGCTTGAAGCTAAAACTCCCTGTGCCAGGGAGGCTCACACTTGTAAAATGGATGTCTGACAGTGCAATTCTAAAAACATCTGCACTGTTTTCTTTCTGTAATTGTATTTCTTGGAGTATGAACTGGCACTTTAGGATCCAAGCAGAAAGGGAGGCAGCGGAGAGCAAACTACTTGCATGGCAGATTCTGCAACCGGATGCTGGGATCAAGGTGCTGATGTGCAAGCCCTGAGAAATGAATGTCTGAGCTGAGCCTGTTGTGATTGCAGAGGCAGAGAAGGCTGCTCAGGTGGCCAGGATTCACTATCAACAGAAGGTTATGGAGAAGGAAACAGAGAAACGAATTTCTGAGATTGAAGGTAACCATGGTGCTAGCGTGCTGTTGGGGTCATCTTCCAGCTAACAGTGGTGGCAGGTAGAGGAACCTCAGAACTGGGCTGATAGGCATTGCCATCCTGCAAAAAAAATAACTGGTGCAGTAGCACAAGGTTATGCACTGAGGTCATCCCTTCCCTGTTTCACGGGCACACCTGGGTCAGCTCCTCCCCGTGGGACAGAGGCTCGGGTGCTTGATGTGATGGGGCTATTCCCTTGCTAATGCTTGTTTTCCTGTCTGTGCTAGACGCTGCATTCCTAGCAAGAGAGAAAGCAAAAGCTGATGCGGACTACTACACTGCTCGGAAGCTGGCTGATGCCAACAAGGTGAGCACTTGAAAGCTGGTCAGAAGAGTACTTGATTACTTTTTTCCTCTGCACAGGAGATTAGGTTCACGTGGGCAGCACTGGAAAAACACTTGATTTATCAAGCCCACATCCCAGGAAGCAGCTGCTTGAGCTGAAATCTAATGATGGAGGGCTCAGAATGTTGTCTCTTACAGTCTCTGGTTTCTCTGTTTGTAGCTGAAACTTACTCCTGAGTATCTGGAGCTAATGAAATACCAAGCAATAGCTGCGAACAGCAAGCTGTATTTTGGTGACCGCATTCCCAACGTGTTTCTGGATTCCTGTGCCTTCCAGCAACCCAATCTGAGGACTGCGCAAGAAACCAGCCTTCCTTCACGGGGGTCCCCAGAGACCTCTGGAGAAAGCCATCTCAGAGCAAAGGAAAGCACTGGCTGACAGAGGTAGAAAGATACCAGGTATAGCTCAACAGCTAGCCCAGCTGTGAATGGGGATGTTGCCCTGTGCTGATGGGGCGGATGCAGCGCATGTGTGGACATCTTTTGTATAGATGGCAGTTGGGTTGATTTTCTCCTAGCAACACATTGCAAGTGCTCTGCCTCTTCTGTTTCTTCCCCTATTACATTGGTGCTTCCGAATGAGGGATAATCCTGTACTAACACACCTATACTGGAATATTAAAAGACAGACACCAGGAAAGCCTTTCGCAGCAGGTGCAGCTATTTAGCAAGCATTACTCTGGAGGTAGGAGATGTGGCTTTGAGTGCTATGTTGCTGCAGACTGGTCGTTCCCCAGAACTCCTTGCTGAGGCTGAGCGAAGAGGTTTCCTTCGTCCTGCCAAGTGGGTTTCCTTCGTCCTGCCAAGTGAAGCTTCACTTTGTGCACTCCGAGACAGGTTTCTACCAGCAATGTCTAACTCTCCTCAAGGACTCGCGTGGAGTGGGCTCTTCTTGGCCAGCGGAGACTGCATGTTCCTGCTCAGGGCAAGGCCTGGTGAGGAGTGGTTTGGTGTGGAATAGGTTATTTGAATAGGATCTAGATAGCCATAAGCTTCTTTCCTGTAGGCAATGGCACTAGATAACGAGCTGGAGCAAGCAATCTCTAATGGGCTTCTGTAACTCCACCTCTCCAGGCAAGAGCCTCACACTGTTTGCCTGTGACTGACTATAGTATGTTTCAGCTGGATGGCTGGGTCCCACCTTGCACCCGAAATCTGATTTCAGAGTGCATGGAGCGCCTCTGAGCAGCTGGTTGGGAACAGAGCTGCGAAATCTTTGCCCAGAGCCCAGCCTCCCTGTAGGTATTTTCACCAGGGAAAGGGGGCTGAATTTCAACTCTTCTGCCTTGCTGGCAAAGTGAATGGGACGATAAGTGTGAAGGGACCCTGCTCTGCAGCAAAATCAGATGTTTGACACCTCAGCTGCAAATTAGGTGAGGTGTCGCTGCTCCCCAGTGCAAAATCCACTGCTCCAAGAAGTGAGACCTGTCTTGTGTGTTCTTGAACAGCCACAGTGGGGAGTCTGTTGCTGGTCCTCTCATCACTGGCCAGGCTTTGGTGCATTGCAGGGCTTTTGACTTACAAGCAATACTAGCAGGTTGATCTTTTCTCCTGGTGTGCGTTGTAATATATCCAACCTGTTCCCCATCTGCCAGTGCAGGGTGAGAGAGAGAGATGTGCTTGGGGGGGAAATCTGGTACAGTCTGCTTTCCTCTTCTCCTCTGTCCTCCTCTTTGCCTGTGAGGACATGCTTGTTTCTAGGACCTGTTTCTCATTGTGTTCTGTGGCAATCCCAGAAGATGATGGCTCGGGAATCAACTAGTGAAAGCTTGAGCTGGAAAGCTGTTCACCAGCTGGCAGCGCTGCAGCATTGCCTGTCCCTGAACCCGCCACATGTTCAGAGATGGACTCTCCTCTGCCAGGCTGGGATATCTGTAAGTTCGTCCTGCTTTCCTGTCCCGTCAGGTCCAGCCACATGCAGCGCTCAGCCCTGGTGCAGTTCACCGGATGGGCTAGTTGGTGCTGGTGTTGAGATCTTCTGTCCCTGGCACCATCTGCAGACTCATGGCAAGGGGAGGAACATGTTTGGTCTTTGCCTTGGTGAAACATTCAACCCAAAACAAGCGGCGTGAACTTCACCTCTGCTATTGATTTCCCCCAATGAGTTGTGTGGGCTTCAGGCTTTCCAGTGCGGTTTTCCTGTCGCGTGTGACATCTGAGGATGGCAGTGTCTCTCCTTCAGGAAGTTTGGTAACATATGGTGCCTTACATAGTGTCAACTCCTGCCCTGGCTGCCTCCTCTAGCTCTGGAGCAGAGATGCATTGACCCTCCTTTCCTGCTGCCACTGCTGGCCAGCTTGGGTAATATGTGGCTGTGGGACTTTGCAGCAGGCTCAGGTGGTTCTGTATTTCCTCCATCTGTCTGCAAACTCCCGAGGCCCAGTTGGTGCTCTGCACCAGGATACCAGCTCCTCTTCAAACCCAGCCATGGCAGGAGCCAGAGACCAGGACCCCGTCCCAGTGAGAGGCCAGCTGAAGGTGCTGACCGTGAATCATGGCTGCCAGGAGTGTTGAGCATGCTTCATCATGCTCTGAGGATGAGAGGAAGGGTACTGCTGTTGCCAGGAGGAGAGGTTTATCCAGTTTTTAGTGTACACACCTGGTTGTGGCACAGCCGTGTGCCTTGCAGATCCCGGCCTGGGGAGCACTAAGCTGAGCTTTTGCTTGGGAGAGTCATGTCTTCACCTGCCAAAGTCTTGGGCAAACAGTGTCCTCCTGGCACAGAGCAGCCTTCAAAGGGTGCTGGTGGGCAGGGGAGCAGGAAGGATGTTTGCATGTCATGCTGGAAGGCAGCTCAGCCAGCAGGCAGGGCTGAGCTGAAACCCATGGCTGATGATGGGAGAGGAGTGGACAGGCACAGCATTGGCCCCATTAGACCATGCAGTGCCTTCCCCAGGACAAGGGTACCAGGGCAGAGAGGAGATGGCAGTGTACTTAGTAGCTGTGGTGTTTGAAATGTCTCCTGAAAGTACTATTTGACTTGCAAGGTCCCCTTTCTCCTGTCGGAGGGGGGAACCGCATCTGCTTGACCCTCCACCTCCTTGGTGTTGCTGGCTTGCAGCTCGTGCTGTGCAGCAGAAATGTGGCCTCTCCTCACCCCAAAGTGTCCGCTTTGGTGGAATTTTGAGAAGGCAGCACGCTTTTTAGAGCAGAAGCACTCCTGGAGGGGACATAGACTTGTCTCCAGGTGCTACTCACTGGTGTTAAGCACTACCCAGTAGTGGCATCAAACCCTGGGCATCAGGCTGGGCGGACAGGGTAGGTTCTGCCAGCCTGGAGATGACAAGAAGGAAGGGCATGAGGGGAACCACTAGAAGCAATAACCAGGCAGCTCACAGCTTTGCTGCAGTGATCAGAGTGAGATCCCTCTTCAGGGAGAAGGAAAGCCTTCCAGACCAGTGCAGGGAGGGCTGCTTCCCTTTGGATCTGAGTCTTGCTGGGCCTCCCTGCGGCCATCCGGGTGGATGCATGGTTTTGCCATTAGTGGCTGTCACTGGCTAAATGTCATCCTGCTCTGGTTGGGTATGTATCGGCAGCCTCCTACCCGCATGGTCTGAGGGACACCTGGGGATGCTTCTGCAGTTTGAAGTCCTGCCTGCAACGTGTGCCTGATGCCCAGTGCCTTCTGCAAAAGCCTCCTCCATCCCTCTGCTTCCCCAGCCACTGCTTCAGAAGCCTGAGTAGGTATGCAAGAGGAGGGAATCACCACGGCTTTAACACCCCAGTCTGGGCTTTGCTTCTCTCTGAGCTGGGAGCTGTGCAGCGGGAACACAGGTGCAACTGGGAACGTGGGACTGAACTGGTTTTTCTCTCTGTTCAAAAGGCCTGTGTGCTTCTGTGACTAAAGGGGTCTGCCACTGGATCTGCACCTTCTTTAAGGAAACACGATACATATGTTCAAGTTTACATGCACAGTGTTAAGTGCTTCTGATAAAGCAGAATAAAATTATTTTGTTACCATTTCCTTGGTGCTGTTTTGTGTCCTAGGGCCAGTGTCACTGTAGGCATGTGGAAGGGGGACACCTGTGCCTCGCACCCTGCAGTAACACTGCACCTGGTTGCATGTCCCTGGCTGCAGTGACTGCCTCCCTAGGAGCCCCATGAGCAGTCTGGCTTCAAAGAAAACCACAGGATGGGGCTGAGCAGCAGGGGCAGCCCTTACAGTCCTGCTGTGTTTCGGCGATTGTCCTCTGAAGCTCGTGGTGGGAGCTGAGCCCTGCTGGACCTTGGGGCCGCACCTGAGCTGCCCTGCTGCTCATATGCAGCCAGTGTGGGAGCGCTTCCCAAGCAGGCATGGCTGCTGCGTGTGAGCGGTGTCCTGGGCTACCATGGGCTGGTCCCTGAGCACCGGTGTTGCCTCCCAAGTATGTACACACACTTGTCTTGGACCAGGATGATGGGAGCCAAGCTGATGGTGGGAGTCACAGTGGCCAGTGGTCACAGAGCAAGCCTGGGTCTCACTGTTTTGGCAGATGGGACTGGGGGCCAGCAGTGCTGTGTGCTGGGGGATCTGCATGGCTGGCAGGAAGCACTGCTGTGTGGCTCCCGTGGCTCTGGCACAGGATGTAGGAGTTCAGCTCAAGCCCTTCTGTGCCCTGGCTCCACCCATGCCAGATCCACCCTGAGCCTCCGGCAGCTCCCTGCCCACTGCCACCCTCCTGCCCCGCTGCCTGTGCTCTCCTGTTCTGCCAAGAGACACCCTGCAACACCACTACCTTTAGTCTTTATTGGTATAAAAGCCTTCAACCTAAATTATATCCAAAATGGGGAGGTATGGTTTCACAACAGACAGCTCAAAATGGTCACATAAGGGTCATAAATTAGTGGCTGCAATAAAAAGGCTCCCAGGAAATTCCATGTCAGAAGACCAGTAACTCAAGTGACAATTTCAGAGATAAGCCGACTGGGGAAGCCAAGCCCAGCTTGGACCTCCCTGGCAAGACCCCCTTGTATGACTGTCCTCAGCCAGGTCGGTGGCCCCGGGGCACTGTCCCCACAGTGCAGCACTCTTCTTGCCCTGGCAGGCCCAGCGAGTTATGCCAGGAGCTACTTGCTGCGGCCCCAGCAGAGAAGGGGCAGAAGGAGCAGGACACATTCAGCATGGCAGGAGAGAAGGCAGCAGCTCGCAGGGCATAGGAGAGCCTGGACCAACTCAGGGCTGGCCTCAAAACCAGCAGTGGCTTGTCCTCCTTCGTGGTCTCCTCATGAAGCCCCAGCTGAGAGCTCTCCCTGGGCCAGCCATGAGGCTACGAAGTCTGTTAAGGCACAACTCAAATATCTGTAAACACTGGTGCCCTCCTGAGGAGGGTCCAGCAAGCAATTCAAGTAAGGGTGGAAGCGAGACGGCAGCTCCCCAGCTGTGCCACCAAAGTGCCAGAGCCATGGTGGCGGATGTAGAATCCTTGGTCACCTCCTGGCTGGGGGTGGCTTCAGAGCCACCTTTTGGGGGATGCCCTGCTGAAAGACCAAGGGGGGTGTTGGCAGGGGGCAAGGGAGGGCTGGTGCTGGCAGACCCTTGCCACGGCACGGCACCTTGCTCTTCAGAGCTGGGAGAGGCTTGCTGGGAGGCTTTGGCTTCACCTGGTGGGAGGAGAGGAGAAACACGAGTCCCTCACCTGGGCACCAAGGAGGGACCTGGTGGTGGACAGTGGGACAGAGGAAGGGGCCACCCCCTGCGCCCGTGCCCCCCACACACCCCCTTCCACATACACCCCCACACCCCCAGTCATCCCATGGATGTGCCGCCACATGTCTGGGGCTGCTCAGGCCAAGGGAGGGGGGGGAGAAGGGAAGTCAGCAAGCAGGCCCTAGGCACAGGAAGGACAGGCTACCCTGGTACAAGGCAGGAGGCAGTGGTGGCTTTTGGACGGGTGATTACCTGCAGGGCCTGTCCTGGAGTGGTAGGGGATGTCACCTGGTGGACTGGTGCTGGCAGCTGCAGGGTCAGCACAAACCAGGGAGAGAAGCTGCCCTCCCACCGACCCACATCGCAAAGGCTGCCCCGCGCCAGGGCTCTCTTCAGCTCCCTTACCTGTGGGGCCGGGTGGCAGGGCCCAAGGGGCCGGCCATCCCGTGGGGTCATCGTGCTGCTGAGCAGGCTGGGGTGGCCGATATCGTGGCAGGACAGCTGGTGGC